CATCACCTTCGGCGAGAAGGCGGGCGCGTTGCCTCTGGAGATTCGCGCCAAGCTTAGGCGCCTGCGCCAGAACCTCGGGCGACCGTCCAACGATGACCTAACCCGCAAGCTGCGCCTCACGGAGGCCGAGGATGCCCTGGCGAAGGGGGCGAAGCACCTCAAGTGATCTACGCGCCGACGTACCAAGCCAGCCTCGGGATCACATCGGGTCTCGCGATTGTCACCGGTGGGAGGCTTCAACGACGAGCTAGGCCTGGACGGCATATACTCGGGGACGGTCAAAGGGAAGCCTTACTTGGTCCTGTCCATCGTTGAGGCGCCCACTACCTACCACGTGGCGCGCTACCTCAAGAACAGCAAGCCACAGACCGTTGCTAAGGTCTTCAGGGAGTTGTGGACAGCGGGACCACCAGCGGCAGTCAGGCTTGACCCTGGAGGCCATGGTTTCCATGGGGATACGCGTGAAGGCAGTCGCGGGACAGGCCCAGTGGCAGAGAGGGTGCACTGAACGACGTGGAGGCTGGCTCAAGCTGATGATTAACCGCGTCGTCGAGCATAAATCGATCTCAGATCGCCGCGAGCCCGTCGCAGTGGGCCCACGGCTGCTCACCGACCCGAGCCGCCGACTTGATCGACAGGCCGGGCCAGATCGCGGAGCAGAGCATGCAGCATGCGTCTACTGAATTGGCGAGATGCATGGCAACCAGGACAGCAGCGAGGACCGCATTCGTTGAGATGCAGAACAGCCAAGCGTTCAGGAAAGCGATGCCGCGCAAGCCTCGGGTCACCAGGGTCCAGTACGAGAACGGCGACTTGGTGTTCTACTGGGGGCAACGCAAAGGGGCCAAGCTTCACGCATGGCGAGGGCCTGCCGTGGTTATTGGATCGGCTGGGGCTTCCAATTTCTGGTTGTCTCATTGAGTTGGCACAGCACAGGTATCGCATGAACAACTGCGACTGGCTGAAGACGAGGAGATCTGGTGGCCGGGACAGGGAGGTGATCCAGACATCGAGGAGATGAACAAGCTCGTGGGGGAGTTTGAGCAGGACGATCAGCCTAAGCATGAAGATCAGCGAGATCGACGACCACGCGATAGTGATGAAGCGGCTCGGCCTCTTGAGCGACGCCCAGAACAAGATGCGGGGGGGTGCTCAGCTCTTGCGGGGGGGGAGGGGGGGCTGAAGGAGAAGCGCGCAGCTGGTCGGGGCGACAAACCCGGAGAGCCAGCAGCTCGGAAGAAGCACGAGGCGGAGGCGCCAGCGGGGCCTTCCACTACGCGAGCCGAAGCTGTTTCATCTTCGAGACTGTCGCCATCGGGGTCGGCAGCTTCTGCAGCAGCGCCTCCTGCGCCACCCGAGCTGGGCGCCCCCTGCAACGAGGCGGGGTTCGCGAAGAGACGGGCGGCTCGCCAGACACGGGCCACGCGGGTGCATCGGGTGGGGCCTTATTTAGTATTGCCTCATCCTTGAGATCACCCCGGGCAGCCCGCTCAGCTGGGCAAGTTCAGTTTCGGCCCCATCGCGAAGCGGAGTTGGGGCACCAACCGATTCAAGAAGAGGGCCATGGAAAAGGATACGCCATGAGATGCCACCCCGGAGCGGGATGAGCCATTGTTTCGGGAGGCGGCCGCACTTCAGTGGAAGCAGCGGGAGAGCTATGACGCAGTCGAACCACTGAGCGTCGAGGGGGGCTTGGAGATCAGGGAGCGAGTGCACCCAACTCGCATACTTACGTCGCGCTACCTCTACCGCAACAAGAATGCCGGGGTGAAGGATGCGCCAGTCAAGGCGATGGCTAGACTACCTTGCGGAGGACACAACGACCCGGGCCTCGCGCTGGGCCTCAGGACGGGCGCACCTACGGTCTCTAGACATTCAGTTATCCGCTTCCTGGCTGCGGCGGCGGCCCACGACTTCGAGATCGCGGCTGGAGATGTCGACTGCGCCGCCACGCTGGGGGGGGGGGGGGGCGCGGCCGCGCGGAGGATTTCTACATGGCCCAGCCCATGGAGGGCCTGCCCGACATGACCCCAAGTGCTTGCTGAGAGTCAAGAAGGGAATCTTCGGACTTGCTGACGCGCCACGTCGGTGGTGGAGGAAGCTACACCGAGGTCTTATATATGCTATGTTGGAGGGCGAGAACGGGCAGACCATCCGCATGATGCAGTCAAGGCTGGACCCTACAGTGTTCCGCGGATTCAACCAAAATGGCAGGTTGTTCTTATTGTAGTTTGTACATGCTGACGATTTGTCGGTAGCTACTGAGTCGCAAACTTTGCGCCAAGGAGTGCGTGGGTTGTTCAATTGTGGCGAGTGGCGTCGCGTTCCAATCATGTTCTGCGGGGAGGAACTGGAGAGGGATCCGAGCGTCGGCGTCGCATTGGACCAGTCTACCTCGATCGAGGGCAAACTCGAGCCTGTGGAGCTGGAGAGGCCCCGGAAGTCGAAGCCTGACTCGGAGTGCAACAGGGCGGAAATTGCAGACAACCGGAGCGCCATCGGGAGTCTCGGGTGGCCAGCTCGCGAGACGAGGCCAGACTTGTCATGCATTGCGTTCGTGGCGCAGCGGACCCAGAACAAGCCTGCGATCCAGAATGTCATGGGCCTTAACAAAGCTGTCAAAGTTGTCCAGGAGACGGCCCGCGAAGAGTTTCACATACCACGTCTGGGCATCAGTTCACCATGGCGTCTCATTGTTTACCATGACGCCGCTTGGGGCGATGCATTGTCCGAAGAGGAGGCCGTCCAGGAGATGGCGCAGGCCGAGAAGGTCCACTCGCAGGCGGGCTACCTCGTTTACCTGTGCGAGCGCAAGGCGGCGGAAGGAGAGCCGGGCAAAGCTTTCCTGGTGGACTGAAGGAGCCACGCGTTGCCGCGTGTGACTCGGAGTACCTTCGCAGCGGAGACGCAGAGCTGCACCGAGGCGTTCGACGCTGCGGAATTCGCCGGGTCGGCGATTGTGGAGATCATGTGCGTAGACCTGGCCTGGACATCACCAACAGGGAGATGCTGGCGAGTATGCGGGCGCTGCCGATTACATGCGTCGTTGACTGAAGGTCGCTGTCATGAGCCCCAGCGACATTCCGATGAGGTGGGTTCCGACAGATTTTATGTTGGCCGACGTACTCACCAAGGTGATGGACTTGCGTGGCCAGTATCACCGGCTCGTGGCCGGTTTTCTACATATCCCAAGGGATATATTTGCTCCCGAGGGGGAGCCGTGAGAGTGAATCATTTTAGCCTTTACGTACGATTTGTGCCGAGATGCCTATTAGTTTATGTGTATGCTGAGCTTTCATATTATGGCCCTTTCGGCCCCTAAATGTTCTAGACTGCTGCCTGTCTATGCGAATGTATCTCTAGTGGCCAGCTGCGGGCTGCTAGGAGGACCAGCCTGGTCCGATTGTGCGTGTTGTTGCTCACTGTGCCAGCTTGTTCCAGGCCCCTGCTTTTGGGAACAGAAAGTAGAATCAGTGTGAATTCCGGGAGCGATGGGAGCCTTACGTGTCTCTGTTTTTTCCCACTCCTCTCTTTTCTAAGGCCGGTTGCTTCCGAACGCAGGTGCACCTGTCAGCCTTTGGAATCGGCTTTCAGCAAAAGGAAGAAACGCCGCATCCTGACTCACAGCTCTCACGTGTTGTCACATCGAGGCCCTCCTGGAGCGCGTCTTCGGAGTGGGATCCTCTCGGATGTTTCGTGGGACATTTTGGGATCTCTGGGCGCGTGTTAAGAAATATGGGGTACCTCTTGAGGCAATGTTTGGCGACATTCGTTGTCTTAGTGGCGTTCCGAAGCCGTCTTGGGATCAATGGAACAACTAGAGGACCTCAGGGAAACGCAGCGCCGCGCAGAGAGCCTCGAGAGGGGAGGGGGGGCGGTGCATGCCACGGAACGCTAGGAGAGGCAGAGGGGCCCTTCAGAAGACTTACAGAAACCCTGCCAGACAGCATGTCGCATTGTACCAGGCCTCAACGTGATCTTCCTCCTCCTCCCCTCCTCCCCCTCCTTCTCCTCCCCCTCCCCTCCTCCCCCTCCCCCTCGCCCTCTTCCTTCCTCACTTCCCTCCTTCCAAGGGGGGGGGGAGAGGGGCGAGGTGCTCGGGGGTCGCAGCTGGAGAAAGGGGTGGGCGAACTGGCGCGACCGTGCGGCGATGACACCGCGAGACCGCCGTTGCCGACGCGGCAGGGCGCGAGCGATCCCCTACGGATGCCCCCCACCCAGTCGTGCTGTTCCGACGCCGGTGTTGCTCCTCATCTCTCCGCTTGCACGCTCCTTTCGCCATGAAGGAAAAAGGGGTCTTGGATGAAGGGCGCCTTGGAAGTGTTTTTGTCCCAGTTCCCGGCCTTCTCGGGCCCTTCCTGGGCCCCGGGGCCGTTCACACGACTCAGAGTTGATCTCAGTGGAAGCCCCGGGGACCACCCGTTTCCACCAGGACACATTTCTTCCATGCCAGACGTGTTTCTTACTGTTCGTCCTTCGCAATCGTCCATATGTCTCCTCCCTCCTCTGCTCGTTTTCCTCCTCGCCCCCTCGATCCCGTGAATCAGGGCCGCCCCATCCATTTTTCATCAGTTTTATTTTTTGTGAGGGCATGCTGCTGTGCTGGCGTTTGGTTGATGGATCAGACCCAACAGCGCACCCACAATTTTATTTAAACAGATCAGACTAAGACTCAGGGCACATTTGCAACCCCCGATGTCAGAAGAGAGGCATCATGGCCCTCCATGGTGAATGAAAATGCGGCGTCTGTGGAAAGACGATCGAGGGTATCGAGGAAAGTCAAAAGAGACCCGCGAAGAAATTTCTGGAATATTATGGTGCAGACCTGCCGTATCATTCGAAACCATTTATAATGCATATTCGCATGTGATGAGCATGGACGTGCCTGTTGTTGACCGAATGGTTTCAGGAGGCGGTGGGCATTGCTCAAGTTCATGTAAAGCCCCTCCGCTACTGGCTTGAGCAGAGCTTCAGCTCGGCCTTATCCATAATATGAAGACATGTGTCTGCCGCCCCTGAGGTTGTTTAGGTCTGACTTGCCCGAACGAGTGCCCTGGGGGCAACTCGTTGCAGGCACAGGAAGCATATTCACGACCTTTCAGCCTAGAAACCCACAAGCCAGGCAACATAGTAGCATTGTTCCGATTCAGTTTGCGATTTCCCTTGCTCCTTTCTTGGCAACCTCCTTTTCGCACGAGTGCAATGTGCGCACAGATCTTCCCATTTCCCAAGAAGCAGTTCTCGTTCAACCTCACCCACGTGCGCCGCGGCAGTGAGAAGCATGCTTGTATCGATGTAGCGTCCATGCTTGACGGGCAAAAAGAGTGGAGCGCATGGAATTTCTCGATGGAAACGAGTGCTTATGCATCGGGGCACCAGAAAGAGCATTTGCAGAATACGCACAGGTCGCTCATGGGGATTGCATCAGGGTGAGGCGACAATTGAGGGTGGCAGTGTTGTGAGAACTGGTCGAAGATGATGTTCGATGCGTAGTCTCTTCATTTCGACTGTGTCGCAGGTCTCATCCCTTTGAGTAATACTGTATCGGCTCTCTGGACCCCCTGGCCTCTCATCCTTCCCCTTCGATTCGCAGTGACGAGGCGATTCCTCGTTCAAGACGCCCATCAATCACATGCCGGTAATTCTGAAGGAGAGGGGGAGAGATGAATAGAGATGAATAGGGAGAGGGAGGGTCATTGGAGAAAAAGGACATGGAAAGGGAAAGGGCGAGAAAACGACAGACACATTGAGACGGAGGCAGAGGTGGAGATGGACACGGCGAGACGGATGAGGCAGAAACAGGGAGAGGATAGAGAGAGACAGAGACAAAGATGACAAACAAACAATAAAGAAAGAGAGAGAGAGAGGGAGATAACCATAAAAAGAAAACATGAGCACCAGTTCGGACCAGGTTTGCCCCGGGCCCCACAGCGGACCAGGGCTGCGCAGGCTTGCCTCACATGGCGGGAGGCGCCGCGGATAGAGCAGGGGTGGGGTGCTACCCTCCCCTCTGGCGCTACCCCACCCCTCTGGCGCGGTCGAAAAGGATCTCGATCGGAAAGCAAAGCAGGCTTGTGGTGCACAGGCCGTTCGAGGATCCGCCTGCACACCCGAAAAACAGACGCCGGCTGCTAGCTCGCTTCGGCTTGCGCGCTTCGGTGCTTCCGTGAGCTGTGGCGGCGGCTTGGGGCATCCCCCGCGGCGGCCTAGTGTGACAGCTACGGAGCAGTTGCCATTTGCTCTCGCAGCATATTCGGGGGAGAAGACTCCAGCCCTGGTGTGCCGAGCTGTGAGCACCAAGGTACGTTTTGAGGTGTTCCATGGAACGAAACCCCAAGGGAAGTGGTAGGGCAGAAGGCCTGTTGAAGGCTATTTAAAGGCTGCCGCCTCTGCCGCCGACCCCAAGTGAGCGACGTACGTTTGGTTCGTTTGTTGTCGGGGTGCCTATCGGAGTACGGCAGAAAGGGTTCAGGTGAGACATCCAGGCCTGAGCCTCGCCCTCTGGACTCATGATTCTCTGTTGCATGTTCGTTTCTTCTCTATCCAATAGCCTTCCCGCCACTGTGCCTAGGTTTTAGGTCTGAAGCCTATTGGTTGTTCGTTGGGATTTCGTGGTGGCCCATTTTTGTCAATTTGTTTTTGTTTGGAATTGTGGGGTGTGGTAGTGACATGGGTTAGCGGTCGGTGGATTGGGCGAGGTGGCAAATATTATCCAAGAGAAGCGAGCACCCCATCCCCGAAGGGGACACTGAGGTTTTGTGTGTAGCTGCTGTGGGCTCATGGTTTGTAGCTGCCGTGGGCTCCTGGGACATCGTCGTGATTGCGTTTTCGGGGAAGCCCACACTTGAGGTGGTTCAACCAATTTCGCCCGAGATCTCCCCTGTCTGGGCTCAGAGATGTCCTGTCAATGCTGTCGCCGATGACCCATTGGACAATTTCGTGCCGCTTGCCAGATGAACGCTCGGGCAGACTGGAACCCTCCTTGTTGCCAGTCTCGGGGGAACTGGAACCCTCCTTGTTGTCAGACCTAGGGAGACTAGAACCCTCTGGGTTGCGAGTAGCACATCTGTCAATCGGGTCCGCTTGTCAAACGGGCGGGGGTTCTTAGCTGGGCATTGCATGAGGCGAGTTGCCCGTCCTGTCGATGGGATTTTGGGAGGAAGCGACTTCACACGCTAGTCACCCAAAGGGTGGGCGGATTTTCTTTGCCGTGGATGCTGTGTGGCACTTCGTCGGAGGGGAGGCCCGACGTTGCCCCATCAGCCATACTACTGCTGCTGCAGCGCGCCCTGCGCTTGCGGAAAAACATGAAATCATGCCGCCTTCAAGGCCGGCGGGTTCGGAAATCCTGGGGCGTCGCGCCAAGTTCGCGGGACTGGTCAGTGATATGCCAGCACCAAGCTTGGCCAGGCCTTCCATGGGCTGCCGCCAGTGGCCCCTGAGAGGCCTCGCCAACTTAGGAGCTTCGATTCCTGGCCGACTTGACTTTTGGATCCCAGTTCTGGTCCGATCCGTCGTGCGCCATTGAAATGTACATCGGTCCAATATGAGGACTCCAGTGGTGAACCTCTTGCCTTCGGCGGAAAAGCCAACGCAAGTAAAACGATGACGGTGCCGCTGGCAGAAGCTCGGTCGAAAATGGCGGCGGAACAGAACCTAAGTGCGCGCGTGGTTCAAGTATATAGTATGAATGAATACCAGGTCCCCGGGGGCCCTGCCCACCTCAAAACCATCGGGCCCTTTTTTAAAATACCTCCGCCCTGGCGTCTCCAAGGGGCCTCCAGACGGCCCAAAAGGCCTCCAGGAGGCCTCCAAGGCGGCCCCAGGAAGCACCCAAGATCTCCATGAGGGTTCCGAGACGGCACAATATTGGTCCAAGACAGTCCAGATCCTTGACGGCCCAAAAGCTCCCATGACGCCCCACGAGGCCTCCAAGAGGTTTTTTTTTCAAGAGGGCCACAAGACGCTCATTTTTTTTCGAGGGTGTGAGAGGATTGTTTGTGGTTCTCACTTGTGCGGCTGTCCGACGCTCAAAGATAGCCGACAGGCTCCCGAGATCGCCCGAAGACGGCCCAAGAGGTTCCTACGATGGCCCCAGAACAGCCCGACAGGGACCCAAGCAGCCCAAGAGGCCTCCCAGACGGTCCCAGATAGCTCCAAAACGGTTCTAGGAAGGACCCGAGACAGGGAATTTGAACGGACTTGTCGAGCCTTCGGCCCAACAAAAACGCTAGGAGACCCCAGGAAGCGCCCAGGAGCCCCCCAAGACGCCGCCAGAAGCCCCCGAAGGGCTCCCAACATGCATGTCACATGTGCACGACAAACAGATCCCACGGGCCAGGCTGGTGTTCTCTCCCCGTGTATTGGTCTCGCTGGAAACGCTGCAGGATTACAGGTTCCTTTGGTTCACCGTCAGGCTTCGAGTCTCCATTCGGGTACGTTTCTTCGCCGTCTTCGGCCACGGCTGGGCGCCGTGCCTTGCGGAGGTCCGCGATGCCCCTTGATGCTGGGGGTCAGGAGTGTTTCGAGCGGGGAGGTGTGGCCACACCGCCAGGGGGCATCTCTTGGCTCCTCGCCCTGGTGGCGGTGGTGTCGCTTCTCTTTGCTCCCACCTCGCGTCGGGACAAAAAAAACACGACGGGAAGCGTTGCGCAAGTTCCAGCCTCCAGGGGGCCCTTGCGGGGCCCCCAGACCGTAAAGCACAAGTCCGGATGAACAGTCGGCCCCGGAAAGTGCCCGCACATCGCGGGCCCACGTAGTGAACAAACCCCAGCGTCGAGCGCTTGGGGGGGGGGAGGGGGAGGAGCAAGAGGGAAGAAGAGGAGGAGGGCGAGGAGCAGGCGGAAAAGGAGGCAGAGGAGGAAGCAGAGGGGGGGGAGGAGGAGGAGGAGCGGGAGAATTCGGGAGAATTCGGCGACGACGCAGTCGAGTTTCGCCTAGGCGGGTGCCGCTTCGGGAGCCCAGAAACGCTTGGGGCCCCTAGCGCAGCACAAAACAACCACGCTGCAATTCACTCATACAGCATGTAAACTCCTCTCTCACGCAGCGCAATTACACTCTGCGTATCCTGATGCCTTTGATCGAAGCCTTCGCCCTTTTGGCCCTCAGGAGCAGCATGTTGTCGAAATCTTCTCTGAGGGGCCACGTGGGCCTCCCGTTCGACCCTGTGATCGTGAACTTGCCGCTTCCCTCACCGTGGAGATATCTTTGATATCGCTTCTCCACCTTTTTCTGGTCAACCCTCGGAAGGGGCCCCCACACTCCATGTATGTCCTCCGCTTCCCATTGGATTCCAACACTGTAGCTGATGGCGTTGGGCTCGATCGCTTCGCCGCCTTCTAGCCATGTGCTGGCGATTTGGGAGCGTGCGTGCCACATGGCCCTGCTGACGCAGTAGCTGCTCAGCTTCGCGTTCCCCTTCTCGCAGGCGCGCGTGTCGACGATGTTCGCGGCTGTCTGCGCACCTGGATGGGAGGGCTCTTGAGAGGACGTCCTGTCCGCCTTCTCAGGTGCGCTCACTATTGCCTCCAGCTCGAGGTCGGCCTGGGACTCGAAGGGGTCGCTCTTCGGCTCTCCAGAAACCAGGTCGGTCGGAAGGAAATTCGAAGACTCGTTTGGAGGCCCCTCAATGCTGAGGTCGGGCTCCAGTTTCGCCTCCCCCTTTTCGCAAGCCCTGATCCCAGCGCTGCAGCTGATGGTGTCGGGCTCTGTATTCGCCTCCCTCTTCTCGCATGCGCTGTTCTCAGTACTGTGGCCAGCGATGATGTCGGGCTCCAGCTTCGCTTTCCGCCTCTCGCATGCCCTGATCCAAGCACTGTAGCGGGTGATGTCGGGCTCTATCGTCGCCTCCTCCTTCTCGCTCTGCTCGCTCTCACACTTCTCGCAAACAGTTTTCACGCACTGCTCGCAAACCGTTTTCTCTGATCCAGCCGTGGCGGCGAGGCTCGACGAGGAGTAGCAAACGAGGAGGAGGAGGGGGAGGAGGAGGAGGAGGAGGAGGAGGAGGAGGAGGAAGTGGAGGAGGCAGAAGAGGAGGAGGAGGAGGGGGAGGAGGAGGGCTGAGGGAGGACGAGGAAGATGAGGGGGTAGGGGGGGGACGATGAGGACGAGTAGGCGGAAGAGGATGAGAAGAAGAGGGGGATGGGGGAGGAGGAGGAGGAGGAGGAGGAGGAGGAGAAGGAGGAGAAGGAGGAGGTCGAGGAGGGGGGCAAGGAGGAGGAGGGGGAGGAGAGGGGGGAGAATATGGAGGAGGATGGGAG